TATTTTTCCCCTATTTTTTTCCTATTTTTTTACGACTGGGGCTACCATTGCATCGCCAAAAAGTAAAAGAAGGGACCGTTACGGAGCTGCCGCGCAAGCAGCGCAACTGCGCATCCAGCCAAAGTCCCAATTTCGTATTACACTGCATATCGTGGTAGGGGTACATGTATATGTAGAATATCAAATCTGCCTGCGATACAGTACTAGCTTGAAAATTGATGAAGATTTGCTAAATTACAATCATTTTTTAGGTAAACTTCCTGTAAATTCATAAGAATATTGATGAATTTTGCTAGTTTGTAAAAAAAATAGTGTTCTACAAGAAAATTACGATTATTTTGTTTGGTCCATTTGTTGTTGTCTTTTCCATCGTTTTTTTTCTTTTTTCCTCTACGTTTTTTTTTCTCAAAGTTGGGGGTGCGGCCTTATCCCCGGCAAATACGGGGTCATAACTTAATCAGAATTATAATTAATAAATGACACATATTTGTATAACTTAGATCCTCCTCTTTCATTTGATGCAACTCATATCATGCATATATCACGCATGAGTGATTAAAAACAATTTGAAGAGAGGGTATAAAAAAGTCATTTGGCGGGTGGTATCTGAATGTCAAAGAGAAAATCACATTTCTAGAAAGTTCATCTGCCCTTTCATATGACACCTCAATCAGGAAAAACGAGCCAGGAATAACAAAGTTTTCTGTTTGTTTAAAGTAATGATTGCATTTCTATAATTTGATCAAACAAATTCGTTTCCACTTGCTGCCTGCCGTAGCAACAGAGTTGACAAAAAACTGAACTTAGTTTCGTTGGCGATCAGTCATGCATCAAGTCTTTCGTCTGCTTTGTGCATGGCTGTAAGCTTTACAAATATATGTCATTTATTAATCAGGTGGGCTGTATAACGTACAGACCACCTTATAATTTCGTTAGAATTGCCTTTATTTATTTATTTATTTATTTATTTATTTATTTATTTATTTTTCTTACAGCTAACCACTTTTTTGTAAGCACGTTGACTTGAAAATGGCTCAATCAAATGCCTTCAAATTTGGCACACATGTGTATAGGCATATGTACAAAGCACAATAACGTTTTCAACAATGACCTTGACTGATGAGGTCATTTAGGAGCCATTTTGTAACATTTTCGGAAAATCAACTCATGATCATATCTTCATATAACCAAAAGCTATTTCTCATTCATATTCATCATGATCAAGGTCAATATCCGTCCGGTCAATTTCAGGTCAAAGAAAGTTTAAGGCCATTCTAAGCATTTTTTATAAAAAATCGCGCACACGCGCATGCGCGCGCGTTTTCGCGCGTAAAACTATTACACAACATAGAATCGTCATTTTTTTTCTTTCATAATATTCCACATATTTTTACAAATTAATACCATGTTTGTCTCTTTATGACTATTAATAACGGAATGATCTACCGTTTAACATAAATTCCAGTGCGCGCGAGCTCTTGTAATACATAGCAAATATGGGCAAAAACATGCCTATGCAAAATCCATTGTAGCTCTTTAGGACGCAAGGTGACCCCAATTTGTTTTCATATTTTAATAGAGTATGATTCAGAGATATGATTTCATGTCTCATTTGACCTTCAATTAACTCATGACATCATCATATTGGCCTCCAAACTCAAAATTTCAATTTGCATATTATGACGTCAGCATATTTTTGGAAAATTGATTGTATCTTTGTAAAAATTAATCGATTTTTTTCAAAATTTTGATATGATCTAGCTGAGACAATTCTCTACAAATCCAGTTGTTTTTATCCTTCATTTTGACAAAGGCATCATGGCGTATTTCTGCGATTAAAGGAGGCATGTCAATTTTTTACATTTTGCATGTATTCTCTATGGGACATGACTTTTTCTCAAAACTCGATTCTACATTCCCGTTTTCGCGAGCAATATCTACGTCGTTTTGGCTTCGTTTATGCTGAACTTCGAGTATTTTGTAGCTGCAACAATAAGCTATCTCAAATGTGCCCTTTATTTTGTCTCAATTTTTTGTTGGATCAGCCCACCTATACTTGTTCCAAACAAGTATTACAAATCTAGTATCTTTTTCTTATTTCTAACCACTTTTTTGTAAGCACAATTACTTGAAAATGGCTCAATCAAATGCCTCAAATTTGGCACACATATGTATAGGCATATGTACAAAGCACAATAACGTTTTCAACAATGACCTTGACTGATGACGTCATTTTGGAGCCATTTTGTAAAATTTTCGGAAAATCAACTCATGATCATATCTTCATAACCAAAAGCTATTTCTCATTCATATTCATCATGATCAAGGTCAATATCCGTCCGGTCAATTTCAGGTCAAGTAACGCGCGCGCGTGCGTACGTCCGTGCATCAATGCGCGCGCAAAATTTCAAAATGCTCAAAATCGTCACAAAATAATTTTGCATACGTTTAAGCCCATTCTAAGCATTTTATAAAAAATCGCGCACACGCACCTGCGTGCGCGTTTTTGCACATAAAACTATTGCACAACATAGAATCGCCATTTTTTTCCTTTCATAATTTTCCACATATTTTTACAAAAAAATTGATACCATGTTTATCTCTTTATGACTATTACTGACGGAATGATCGACCGTTCAAGATAAATTTCCATGCGCGCGAGCTCTTGTAATACAAAGCATAATATGGGCAAAAACATGCCTATGCAAAATCCATTGTAGCTCTTTAGGATGCAAGGTGACCCCAATTTTGTTTCATATTTTGATGGAGCATGAATCGGAGATATGATTTCATGTCTCATTTGACCTTCAATTAACTCATGACATCATCATATTGGCCTCCAAACTCAAAATTTCAATTTGCATATTATGACGTCAGCATATTTTTGGAAAATTGATTGTATCTTTGTAAAAATTAATCGATTTTTTTCAAAATTTTGATATGATCTAGCTGAGACAATTCTCTACAAATCCAGTTGTTTTTATCCTTCATTTTGACAAAGGCATCATGGCGTATTTCTGCGATTAAAGGAGGCATGTCAATTTTTTACATTTTGCATGTATTCTCTATGGGACATGACTTTTTCTCAAAACTCGATTCTACATTCCCGTTTTCGCGAGCAATATCTACGTCGTTTTGGCTTCGTTTATGCTGAACTTCGAGTATTTTGTAGCTGCAACAATAAGCTATCTCAAATGTGCCCTTTATTTTGTCTCAATTTTTTGTTGGATCAGCCCACCTATACTTGTTCCAAACAAGTATTACAAATCTAGTATCTTTTTCTTATTTCTAACCACTTTTTTGTAAGCACAATTACTTGAAAATGGCTCAATCAAATGCCTCAAATTTGGCACACATATGTATAGGCATATGTACAAAGCACAATAACGTTTTCAACAATGACCTTGACTGATGACGTCATTTTGGAGCCATTTTGTAAAATTTTCGGAAAATCAACTCATGATCATATCTTCATAACCAAAAGCTATTTCTCATTCATATTCATCATGATCAAGGTCAATATCCGTCTGGTCAATTTCAGGTCAAGTAACGCGCGCGCGTGCGTACGTCCGTGCATCAATGCGCGCGCAAAATTTCAAAATGCTCAAAATCGTCTCAAAATAATTTTGCATACGTTTAAGCCCATTCTAAGCATTTTATAAAAATTCGCGCACACGCACCTGCGTGCGCGTTTTTGCACATAAAACTATTGCACAACATAGAATCGCCATTTTTTTTTCTTTCATAATTTTCCACATATTTTTACAAAAAAATTGATACCATGTTTATCTCTTTATGACTATTACTGACGGAATGATCGACCGTTCAAGATAAATTTCCATGCGCGCGAGCTCTTGTAATACAAAGCATAATATGGGCAAAAACATGCCTATGCAAAATCCATTGTAGCTCTTTAGGATGCAAGGTGACCCCAATTTTGTTTCATATTTTGATGGAGCATGAATCGGAGATATGATTTCATGTCTCATTTGACCTTCAATTAACTCATGACATCATCATATTGGCCTCCAAACTCAAAATTTCAATTTGCATATTATGACGTCAGCATATTTTTGGAAAATTGATTGTATCTTTGTAAAAATTAATCGATTTTTTTCAAAATTTTGATATGACCTAGCTGAGACAATTCTCTACAAATCCAGTTGTTTTTATCCTTCATTTTGACAAAGGCATCATGGCGTATTTCTGCGATTAAAGGAGGCATGTCAATTTTTCACATTTTGCGTGTATTCTCTATGGGACATGACTTTTTCTCAAAACTTGATTCTACATTCCCGTCTTTCGCGAGCAATATCTACGTCGTTTTAGCTTCATTTACGCTGAACTTTGAGTATGTTGTAGCTGAGACAAAAAGCTATCTCAAATGTACCCTTCATTTTGTCTCAATTTTTTGTTGGATCAGCCCACCTATACTTGTTCCAAACAAGTATTACAAATCTAGTTATAATTGTGATTAAGTTATGTTAAAAAATCGATATTTCTCGGTTTCTTTTTTTCTAAGACGCACTGTATATATCTGTATATGTAGATTTCATGTCAACAATGTGTCCTATGAAAATTATGTTTTTTTAAATGGGGTTTAACCATACATATCAAAATGTGATAATAAATTTATGAAACTTTAATTTTGGTCAAAGCACAAATACATTTTTGTCAACATTTTCTATTTCTAAATTGTCTCCATGCTATGGGCAGTAACTCCTCCTGAGAATTTCAGTGGTGAAGTTCATATTAAGAATCGATTAATTATCCAGTATACTCTTTCCGGAACAAACACTAATAAATATATTTTAGCCAATTTATTTTAGAAAAAAGGCCTTGTGTCAAAGTATACGCATCTTGATAAGACTGAATTGATAACATGTTGATTGAGCCAACAATACAAAATACTTATCATGCACTAACACAAATAGTGGAAATTAAAGAGCATTAATGCCTAAAATTGAAATTTATCAAATGAAGTTACATTTCAAAATGTATTACCTGGTGGCAGCAAATATCTCATCAAACTTTCCTTTGAGAGTCTTCCCCTCACTGAGAGGCCTGAAGAAGAAGAAGTGAGAAATTTAAAAGAAATAAATCGTCAGAAGTAAGAAATCATGTCTTATTCGTTATTTCAGATAAAATACTTCAAGCTTTTAAATGTAGAAAGTATGGATACCTCCTTGATTTGACATAATTTTATTTTTGCTTTTATTTTGTGTTGGTATTTTTTTTATTTTTTTATTTCTTTATCTTCGTTTGAAACTTTTATTTATCAAGTAATTTGTACAGACATCATGATAACAATAATCATAAAAATCACTGCTCAATAATTACAAAAGGTAAAAACAGAAGAAAAACGTCAAACAATACAGAAATAGCGGGTAACACTTTCTTTTCTACCGTGTATATGATAGGATTATAATCAAAATACTTCTACCACAGGGGATCATTTGTTATAGTGCATTCCTTCAATCTTCTTCTGTTTTGCAATGTTAAGTTCTATGTATTTGGTGTTACTGATAAATGACGATAGCCCACTTAAACATGGTTTTGCGTTCTTGCATTTTTTGGCAAAGCTGTGACGAGTAGTCGGATGCCCGAGTACCCGCACGGTTCACAACTACTCGAGTACGATTTCTCATACTACGAATATTCGGCCGCAAAAAAAAAAAAAAAAAAAAAAATTGTCCAGGCCTACGCTTACCCATGCCAGGGAGAACGGCGACCGCTGACATGGTTCGGTTGGTAAAAATGTTTCCCAACTCAAGCACTTTCAAACTCACCACTCAGAAACTGGATCCAAATGTCTGGATTTCTGTTTGGACTCGGAGGAAAATGGATTATTCTGCCATCTTTGCTTTTTAAAACAGCATTGTTTACTGTTATTATTATTACTAAATTGGCGCCTTTAACTTCAACTCCAAATATAATTGCATGCGTTTTGGGATACTGCATGCTCCTGTGGTATGGTGGTGGCAAAAAAAAATATTTTTTTTTAAATAAATAAATTTAAAATTTTTTTAAAAAATTAAAAAACATGGCGTCCGAATATTTGAGTATTCCCTTGTAAGCCTGGGAGCCTACTCGGGTACCTCATTACACTGTTGTGCACAGCCTAAATTAAATAAATTAAATATATATATCTGAAAGATTAGCAACAAGTGATTTAGTAGCATCATATTGGGCCTTTTCCAATCTTTTATGAATCCAAACATAATTCTTTTCTTACTGAGATCTTCAAATTTAACTTTAAATTTTGGGCCAATATTATCAACAAATTCCTGTCTAAGCTTAGAAGCAACATCACAGTCATAAAATATATGAACAGGGGGGTGTTTCATAAAGAGTTTGTAAAGTTACGCTTGACTTTACGAACGACTTGTATATGAAGTGCCGGATAGGATGCCCAAAGTTTTTTCTGACATTTCCAATGACCTCAATTAAATTATGGCAAAAAGTATACTTTGCATTAAAATGGTTGTTATAATAAGAATTTTAATCTACATCTGCATAGTTCAACTTAATAAATAATAATCAATAATGACTGAGCATCCCATTTGGCTTTTCATATACAAGTCGTTCTTAAAGTCATGCGTAACTTTAAGAACAGCTTTATGAAACGCCCCCAAGGTGTTTCTAAAGTTGAATTACAAAAGGTACAAATCTCTGACTCAGCTAATTTCATCTTATACATGTGACAGTTTGAATTGGAAAACTCTCATTTTTACTTCAATTGTGCACTTGAAACAAAAACATGTTATGTCATCAGCATAAGCTGTGTATTTTATTTCCTTTCCCCCCACTTCAAAACCCACAATATTGCCATTATTTCTTACTCTATTCAAATATACTTCCAATCCCAAAATGAAAAACAGGGGTGCAAGAGGATCACTCTGTCTTACTCCTCTGCTAACTTTGAAATAACCTGTAGTGAAACAGCTACCGATATCTTTATATAGAATTTTAACCCACTGAATATGTGAGGGCCCAAAGTTATAGGCTTCCAAACATTGGAAAATAAATGAATGGCTCAATGAATCAAATGCCTTGGTGGGATCCATTGCCATTATTATACCTTGTAAATCCTCTTTTTCTGCATAGAACATGAGATCTGATATTAATTGAATTCTTTCTCCAATATATCTCTCTTTAACAAAAGCAGTCTGTTGACTGTTGATCAAATTTTCTATCACTTTAGATATCCTTTTTGCCAAACATGTAATTAGAAAGGATTTTTGCGTCAACTTTAATCGGAGTGATTGGTCACCAGTTACCAAGTTTAAGTTTGTCCTTGTTGGGCTTAGGAATTAATTTTATTACCCCTTGCCTTCGTGAAACTGACATACACTTGTCATTGTATGAAGCATTAAAAGAATCAATCATATATTTTGAAACCAAAGGCCAAAAAACCTCATAAAACTCTACTGTGAGGCCATCATTCCTGGTGTTTTATTATCATTCCTGGTGTTTTATTTTTTGCCATTTTGATCAGTTCCTCTTTTGCCTCATTGCATGATATAAAACCTTCACACGAGGCCGTTTCTGATTCTGTTTACTGTTCAAGTTTACTTTGACAAATAAATTCCATACAATCCTCTTGATTTATACAAATACAAATACAACCACCTCCATAGCAGCTGGGATATACAAGAGATTCGCTGGAAAAATAACAATGCTTTAATGACGTCACTATATGGACCAATTCTGCCCAAGCAGACGACATCCCATAAAGAATGAACATAATTGCAACGCTATTATTTATCAAATTATAACGAGTTCAGTGTATATAAATGTAATGGAATGTCAAACCATTCAAAAAGGGATATGACCTGATTCTGATAACTAAAATCTTTTGTTGGTAAATACACAGGATAGGGGTTAATTAACAATCAAAGAAACCCGACTTTCAAATTAAAAAACCCCCGGAATGATATTAAGGACGGCATTTGTTCCCTCTTGAAACGCCGAACATACCCCGGTGTTTGCAGCTGAATATACAATGGAGTCTTATTTTGTTTACAAGCGACAGATTCCTTTATTTTTGTATCGCTGCATTTGTCATCAAAATAAAACCATGTGCGGGGTATAGAGTGAGGCAATAGATTATACATTTGGCCTGACGGTAGTGAAGTAAGAGAAAGAACTCAAGAACGATGAAAACACAGGCACTGAAATGTGTGAGATGCCATGGGACACCTTCTGCTTGTGCAAATCATGTCCATACTGTGATCTCACACATCTCAGCAGCGTACGGAGAGCTCTTCAGGTGCTATGCCGGGCTGTATTTAAGCGATTTTTAATTTATAATAATCATTACTTTGAATGTTTCCAAGCATTGAATTTTGATAACCTTGTCGATTCAAAGTTTCAACTTTGCAATAATGAAAATAACGTTAGTTTTTAAAATCAACAAATATCTACTTCAAAAAACTCTACATGCACCCTGTCATTGTTGGGTGTGAAGAACTCCCCTGACGGGGGTTGTACTTTTTTAACTTCAAGATCTCACGAGAAATAAACTACACTCTTAAACAATCAGGTTATATAATCAATAACAATGATTTATCAAAGATAATCAACACAAATCATCACGGGTCGTATAATCGGTCGTGTACACATAATAATCATATGTTTCCGGAGGGAAAAACGCCCTCAGACGGCAAATAATATACATAAAAATAACAATGATCATAGTAAACGGAATCGTCTCGAGGGAACACCCCGGAAGTATAATCTCTGTCACGTTCAAAATTGAATACAACAACATAATCAAGCATAAAAAACAACAAATGTCAATCATCAAAATCAAATACAAGAAGGATCGTTAATTAGTTCAGCAAAGCATTCAATGAAAACAAACGATCAAACCAAATCAGCATTACCGAGGTCAGGCGATGACGATGCTGATGATGGCGACGAAACGATTACGAAGACGTAGACGGAGATGATGACGAAGACAGCGACGATGATGAAGACGATGACGATGGTCTTGTTAATGAAGGTGATGCGATGATGGTCATGAAGATAATGTCAATGATGTGGTGATGACGAAGACGCATTTAACAGCGCGATCAGTAGCACACCGGATGACGGTGAGGTGATGACGATGGCATTCATCGTGTCAGCACAACACAATGGATGATAGCAGTCAAAAAGATAAGGAGTCGTTGATGATGAGATGAGGTGATGACGATGGTGTTCATCGTGTCAACACAACAAAACAGATGATGACAAGGTGGTGACGATGGCGTTCATCGTGTCACTATGACGAAGCTGATGATGGTGAGGTGGTGACGATGGTGTTCATCGTGTCACTACAACGAAAAGTGTCAGTGGAAAAGACAAATCCTAGTATGTGCTAGTAAAAGCAATACAAGTCTCTCCACAAATGAAATATAAAAAGAGTCAAATGATGAACAAGCCACCCGGAAGAGGTCCGGGGACAAAGTCGTCGAGTCCACGTTGGACGAAAATTCGACCGGCACAGTAAATTAAAACACAGTAACGATCGACCTGTGTGTGCCGATAAAATTAATCCCTCTGATTTCCACATGGAAATGTCAGAAAAAGCCCTAATCGCTGGTGTAGCCAATTGGTTTAAACAAGCGCACATAATTAATATGCACGTATACACACTGTACATTACAATGACAAATTTACATAACGATAGAATATATTAACAAACCAGACAGAACCGGTTGGGACATGTCTGAAAAGCCAGACAGCGGACTACGCAAGGGAAATTAATTCTCCCTAGCCACCATCTTGGGAAAAAAGCAATTTGTATTAAACATGTGCAAATCAAAGCATAAGACGTTAGTCACTATAAGTATTACGCTAAGACTACGCGGGGGCATGACGTATCCGCGAGCCTTTGTATTCTATCGTTTTTTTAATGAGATTGCCGACCGAATTTGCTGCAGCTATCTCCTCCTGAACCCTCCCCTTTGGGTACCGGTGCCCGGTGCCATCGTCCGCGGGAGAGTCTACTCTGTGTTATTGGCTATACTCCGCCCGAGGCCCTCCTCCGTGTCGACGTCCAGGGCAAAAACAGACGG